TGGACCAGCAACGGGATCACAACCCTTGGTGTTGCCCCCGCTCCTCGCTCAGCCAGTGAGCGGCCGGTCTGCACGTGGGATCCGAACCCTTGGTGGGAGCGCCGCCGCGCTTCCCAAGCGGCGCACTGTAGCAGTGCACCACCGGGCCGGCCCCTTCAATACCATCTTAACACTTGTAGGTTTATAGGATTGGGTGGGGGGTATGGAACTTGGGAAGCTAACCCCCAAACCTTGAGAAGTAAGAGCTTCTGGGTAGGCATTTGTGGGAAGGGTGGGCTCATGCTTCTAGGCCCCCTCCCTCTAAAATTGCCTTCCAGTCTGTTGGTCTCCTGAGTCAGACCCCAGCCTTGCCTTTCTTTTGTCTCACTCTTGCTGACCTGGCTCTGATAGTTTACTTGTCTAGAGATACTTAATTCTTATTGGCTTCTAAAGGGTCTCTCTCTGGAGAGTAGGGTTGGGGCTGGACTGCAGAAAAAAAATGACTTCAATGCTTCTAAATCCCCCTTTTCATTCTTTGAAGGGATTCCTGTCTTTCCCTAGATATCCAGTACTCCCCTGCTACGCAGGATCCCTTCGGTTAGGGTAAATGGACTGGCCTTCTTCTCCACTTACTAGCTTCCCAGTCTCATGCCCACTGCCACTGTTACATGACCTGTTCCTCATCTTCACTCTCTCCCTTTTATTCCTATGACCACGGCCTGTTTGCTCATTACCCCACCTACCCGCCATCTCTCCCCGTCACAACTGACCTAGGCTCCTTCATTTCCTCAGTCCATTTAACTCCCATATGCTTAATTAAGACTAATTACCTGGACTTCGTGATCTGTTACTTTAAGGCTGCTTTCCCTTAAACTTTAGCTTTAACCCCCTTGACTTTCACTGTAGGCTAATCTTTTCCTCTTTCCCAGGACTAGAGGGGATTGCACATGAAGCCAGAGCACAAGGCTGTCTTGACCCACTAAAACTTCATGTCCTGGATCTTTGTGTAAGCCTTCATTCCTCTTAGCTTGCTGTGTTCCCGGTGAACATTTCACAGCAGTTTTCTGTCTTTTTCACCTTCTCAAGGCCCCAACTTCATTCTTCTAAACTCTCAAGACTTACCTTGCTTGCTAAAGAACTGAGAAGATCTAATAGTTCAACTTCTCTCTGCCTTGATAACAAAAAAATCTGCTCTGACCAGGTCAGCTAAATTGTAGTGCCTCGGGAGACCTGGGATAAGTCAGTAGCCACGTCCACCTGTCCCGGAAAACGTTATCATAAGATCAATTTTACTTAGAAGCAGGCATGATGACAGCAGAAAGTCATAAAGTAACCTAGAATGCTTCTTGCAACCCTTACCCTAGATCCCTGAATGTAGGATGTAACCTAGTAACAACCCCAAATCTATCTGTCCTGTACAACCAATAGAAAACCTGATGAAGTAATCAGACGGGGATGTCTTTCTTTCCTTTGACCCTTCCCCCTACTTGTGATTATAAAATGCTAAACTCTGCTGGCCCTCTTTGAAGTGCATTTCTCAGGGCGACCTGACCTATGTGTTTTGCCAGTTGCAATCATCACATTTGCTCAATAAATCCGATGCTTTAAACGTTCAGTTTCAGTTTCTTTTAAGTCAACGTTCCCATTCACCATAACTCTGCTTCTATGTCTGCCTTGTCTTTCTCCCTTTCTTTCCTGCAGTACCAGAATAAGAGGTGGTCCTCCTTCTTGTTCCTTTGTTTTTCTATCCCTCTTCATCATTTACAGTCTTTTCTATCACTGATTTTTATCCCATCTTAAAACGAAAACCAACAAAAACAAAACCAACAAAAGCATTACCACTGATACTTTAATCCTGCTGTCTATTCCAGCTACCATTCTATTCAACTTTGTTCGTTTCACTTCCAAATTGCTGGAAAGACTACTATAAACTCCATTTCCTCACCACAAGATCACCCCTTAATTCTCTGAATTTAGTTTCCTTCTTACACTTTCCTGTACTTAAAAGAACACAAATTACCTCTTAAGCAGGACCTTTAATGACCTTTTCTCTATCTTCATCCTCTTTGAACTCTCTACTTCATTTGACACTGTTGCATGTCCTCTTTAAATTTTTTTTTAATAAAAACAACATTTAAAAATCCCACTGTGACTTTAAAGGAAAGTTTAAAAGAAAATATTCACCTATATCGCAAACACAAGACAATTATTTTTATTTTTTCATGTGCCATGCTCTGTCAGTTTGCATACATATACATAATAAGTATAATTACAGTATACATATCTTTAAAAATTCTGCTTTAAAAAACTTTTTATTGTAAATATTTTTCCTGTTGCTACAGTCTTTCGTATTTATCATTTCAATGGCTGCATAAAATTACATCCATCAGTAGATTATATTTTATTCAACTATTTCCCTACTATTGAACATTTAGATAACTCTCAATTTTTCTGTGCTTTGAACATATTAATGTGTACGGCTTTTTTCTTCTGTGTAATGCTGTCTTTAGGACAAGTTTCCAGGAGTGGGATTACCAGCCAAAGAGCACAAACGTTTTTATGAATCATGATTTCCAACATGACTGTACAAATTTTCAGCGCCACAATGACATATGAATGTTTCTGTTCAATACACATGTTAATTCTTTGTCATATTTGATGAAAATATTTATCCTACTTATTGTAATACTTTTAATTTTGGTTCCTCATTTTATCCCTTCTATTTAGAGCTTCTCTCCTCCTGCTCTGATTACGTCTTCTCTATCTCCTTTGCTGGATTTTTCCTCTTTTACTCCCTAAGTGAAGTAGAGTTTCTGAGATCTATCACAGAGTCAGCATTTGGGGATTATTTAATGCCCTTCCTCCATCAGAACACTGGTTTTCTCTTAGAACATATATTCAGGTGAATACAATGCAGTTGACTCATACTCCTCGAGAGGACCTCAGAGATATGCAAGGCCTGAGCATCCACTTGCTTTACAGTGGAGAAAACAGGTCTACACAGATTAGTGGCAGAGCAGAGACGAGGCCCCAGGTCTCCTGACTCCCAGTGCTCCTTCCATTACACCAGGCCAACTCAGTTCTGTGCTTGACCTTTCTCCCAAGCTCCACCTCTACATCTTCAATTGCCCACTGGGCAGTTCCACTTGGACCTTCCATTGTTGCTTCCAACCCAAGAGGTCGAAAACTAAACTTCCTGGACCAGTTCCCCTACCTCTCTTGCTCATTTCTGTTCATGGCATCTTCTTTCCTCAGGTCGCCTATACTTGAAAATTCTCAGGTAACTTCAACTCTTCTCTCTCCTTATTTCAGCAGGTTCTGACATTTCCTTCTTCATCTGGCAAATTACACTTGGCCTTCCTTTATGGTCCCAGCACTACCATTCTAACATTGGCTCTTGTCACCCTATACCTGATGGACTGTTATAGGCTCCTAACTGGTCTTCTTTACCTCCAGTCTCTCTGCACACAAATGCATCCTATATAATGCACGTTGCTAGATTAATCTGCCCCAACACTGCTTTCACAGTTTCACTCTCTTACTTAAAACCCTTTTATGGTTCCTTACTGTCTGTAAGACAAATCGAAATCCTTTAGTCAGAAATTCAGGAGGGCCATTTCAATCTTATTTTCCATTCTTTCTCAATACAAATCTCTCTTCTCTAACTAAATTGATCTCATTCTCTCTCCAAACAAGATCTGTACTTTCTCACCTCTGTACCTTTATTATTCCTGTCCCCCACACTAGAATGCCCTCCCTTTCTTCTCTATCTGTCCTTTTCCTGCCCGGTCTCCAAGGCCAGGCTTATATCCCACTTCCTCTTTGAGGTCTTCTCTGCTGACTCTTACC